ATTATATAATATATATATATATATATAGTAGTATTAGTATATATATATATATATATACTATATATATATATATATATATAGATATAATATATATATATATATATATTGGAATGCTGGAAGTGGTTGGGATCCACATCCGTTCTGATATGGTAACAGAATGATACTTCTACTCATTCGAGATAAGCATTTTTAGGTGTATCGTTGGGGAACCGACCGCAAGCGGATTGCAATCTGCTGCTATATGCTAATAGCAGGGCATCATTTAATTGAATATGGTACTTTGTGATGTTGGGACAGTGCTTGCATCTCATCCGTTAAGCCAAATAAGTCCAAAATATTGTATGTTAGAGCCTACCTTATAGAGTAGGACGAATTTTTTAACACACTCAAAGATACCTAACTGAGTAGTATTTTTTTACGACTAGGCAATCCAACTAAAATAAAGCGTTTCTTCAGAGGCAATGATGTGTACATATACATACCGCCATCAGTAGATTTGTTCCCGACAACAGCCGCACCTACCCCAGCCAGGGCCCCCAAGTCCGTACCTACACACAAATATCGATGTGGAGATTTTTAGCTGATTTTGGAGTCTCAATCTCGTCCTGGCTAGAACTAAGTTGTAATACTGAGTGAATGTCGCGGAAATTGAATGGTTGATCAAAGTGAAGAGATGGTGCTGAATCTACGGAGCTAGATGTCATAACAAGAGTGCAGACTGACGTTAGGTGATTAGTCACACACTCTTACGGGGACCAGGTCTATAGGCAGTACACACCCACACCAGTTCATTCTATGGAAAGTACGTCAGTGACCGATCATACACACCGGCCGGCGCCAAGCTCATCTGGTCGTGCATCTCTTCGAGCTTCTTCTCCAATTCGGCGTAGTTCCTTGCATATTCTGTCTTCTCTGCCTCGTAATCCAATACCTTCTCAGCCAGCTCCTCGGCTTTTTTGGTGGCCTGAGATTCGTTCCATAAACAAGAACATATCGCGGTGTGGTTTAGGAACAAGTTTACACCTCTACCACAAAGAATCATAGGCGCTAACTATCAGGAATAAGTACAGATACCAGACATAAGATATAACTACGGAATAGTACATATTCTTCCTCATCGGTTCTCTCCTCAAGAATAAAAGGATACTGAGCCACTAAGGTAGGGCACGGTTATAGCATTGTCGATTCTATGGATCGCTTGTCGCCAGCTCGCTACTTGCGGTGACGTGTGCACAAATACACATATATGAAAGAATGCAACGATATTATATATTTATGTATA